GTGTGTGTGTGTGTGTGAGAGAGAGAGAGAGAGAGAGAGAGACAGAGAGAGAGACAGAGACAGAGAGGAAGGTTAGGGCTTTGAATGTGACGCTGTTGTGTGAATGTGTGTCGCCTGCTGTGGTGCACCGTGCAGGTTTGAGACACACACAAACATACAAAGGGAGAGAGTGGCACGAATCTGGACGTGCATTCCACGAGGTGCGGATTATTGTGATGGCCCACAAACACATCCAGATTCTGCTAGAGGGAAAAAAGGGAGAAGGCCCATACCCTTACTTACCTGGAACATTACCAGTTACAGGGCAGTACAGGTACTGGCCATTTTAGGGCCTTTGGTTTGTGAGTCTTTTGTGACTCTGTGGGCTGAATGCTTGAGCCAAGCACTCAAGAGGGCGACGGGTCCTTGGCCCAATAACTTGTACAACACCTGTATATCTGCATAGAAAAGCTTCTAAAATGCCTGAGCTGCTACTAAACCTGTTTATCTGTCACGACTCACCATACGTGGGCAGGTGCCAGGTGGGTAATATAATCCTGACAAGAGATCTTCAAACCGATATATGTGCAATTTGCCCTGGGCAAGAACTCATTCTTGCACATCCAGATATGCAGCCAGAGAGAACTAACAAAATAGGCCATTTCCTAAATTTTGTCTGAAAGTTGTTTTCCTCGTCCATGAAATCAACGACAGACAACCTACTACCGCATTCAAATTGGCCATCTTGGAGGATCCCATGTAGGTACTATAGAAACGGAGACGGAGATCCGGTAGATGAGCGCTGGCCAGTGGCCACGCCTCTTGCGGAAGTTGAGGAAACTCCCAATCCCCGATAGGCCAACACGGGAGAGGTGGGAAGAAGTAATTAGACAACCCTTGTTTGGTAACAGATGGATCACGTACAACCTCGGCCGAGCGATGTGCAGCTCGGACTCCCCGTGGAAGGGATGGGTGGGGGATCTCTGGGCTACGGAAACCAGGAACTGGAAGAGCGCGGAAAGATGGCGGAAGTGGCTCCGGTATTGCCACCTGACAGAGTCTGCACTGGAAGACTTACTAATAGATAGTTTCCCCCTTGCATGAGGCCCGACCAGCCTAGCAGCGACAGCGGACTCGAGCCGAGGGTGGCTCCGTCAGGCGGCGACGGGCCCTGGGATTTTCACCGCTGGGTGGGGAAGTTGACTTCGGCCGCTGGAAAGCGACGACCATAGCCAACAGCGGAAGCAGGCCCCCACGGGCAGCCAGTGCAGGAAGGAGAGACAGACGCGAAACCGAAACTAGCAACATCAAGTGAAAAGCATGAGCATGGTTGGGGACGGAAGACCCGGACACAAACGTCGGGAAGTGGGGTGTGAAACAGCAGGTGCAGGAGGGTCGAGGGCAGACACCCGAGATCACGATGGTGGCACAGGCAGGCTAAGGAGGACTCGAAGCGGGGGCAATTCACCGGGGAGAAGGGGTGACACGGATCAACGTCCAGGGAGCGTTCGAGAGCCCATGCCGGAGGGGCGCCGGCCTGGGGGTTCTCTCATCTCCTCTTCGCGAGTCTTCGGAAGCGCGAAGGCAATCAGGATTGAAGGTACGTGCGCAACCATCCCCGGACACACCTCTGCATCTCCTCCCTGATCCCCCTCTCCCGATTGCCATCCATGCAGAAATCTGGGATTAACACACCTGAATGTGGAAAAGACATAGAACGAATAGAATAGGAACCCTAACCCGGAGGGCGGGTTGAATGCGCAGAGGGCACATGGGACGACGGCAAGGCCGCAAGGGAACTAGAGCGTGTATACCGCTTGACGACATAAGCAATCCGACTGTGCAAACGTACGATGACAAACGAGTGGGGGGAGAGGACGACGACATTAGAACTAGGGCGAGCATCCCGCTTGATGACAATCATGACATAAGTAATTCGATTGTGCATGTGAATGACGTGTAACAAGCGCGGTGGGACTAACAGCACCGATGGCTTGAACGAGATATTAATCCCTTTTTTTTTTTTTTTTTTTGAGGCATGCGGACCATGGCGGACCAAACAGAACCAATCCTGCCAGTCCCCGGGACCAGACCCGGAGGCAGTGTATACGCCCGTGCGTACCCCCGTACGACTGTACGTACGGGCCCCTGGCCCCGGTACGGGCCGTACGTACGGACTTCCGGCCGTCCGTACGCAGTCTTGGAGGGGGGGTTCGGGAGTGTTTTTGGGGTGGGTGGGTGTCGGGTGTCGAGGGGAGTCCATCTGCAAAAAAAAAAATTTGAAAAAAACATCTTTTTTTTTTCGATTAGGGTGGGGGGAGTGGGGGTTA